TCAATCAATTTAAGATTTTGAACAAAATTAATAATGAGCACTCCATTTAAAATGTGTTGCCTTCTTGGGGGTGCGGAAACGGTGCATGTTCGTTCTCAATTATTTCGTTGAAGATGCGACTATCATGCATGCTTCCTTCCCACCCACAAGATATGAAAATGAAGAACATGTCGAAGTCGCATACTACTAGTATGTTTTGGGTTGGATATCCTTTGCGACCGTAATATGTGCCGGCATCACGGGCAGGCAACACGGCTTCTACATGAGTACTGCCCAACGCTCCTATACAATGTTGTACCAATAACGTACATGACATAAGGTTTACGTACATTACATAAAATGAAAATTAACCACTAACAGCAACTAATATGCTAACCTTGAAAGGCACGTATTTCCCTCTGGATCGCAAATATGGATGCCTATTATTTTGATCTTTCATGGGCTTACAATGCACTTCTGTGAACAACTTCATCGCTTCCAACACTGCATGGAAATGTTACGACACAGTTTCTCCCGAGTGTTGGAAGCGTTCCTGAAGTTTTCGATTTGTGCAGCCGTCCAACGCATGGATGAACATCGCAACACTTTCTTCAATGTGTAATCCATGGGGTCTTGTAGGTACCCGTAAACCGAAGTCACTTCACAATGTGCCACACAACGCTTGAAACACATACAGCGACATGTGCAAATTTTGTTCAAATCTACCTATGTGCCCATCAAACAATTCTTGAATCCATGCACGACCGGTCAGAATAAAAGTTCGGCATGGGATCTTCTCCATGTACTTCAGGTAATATTCCATTGCATGCTGCGCAACGTCACCGATTATGCTTTTTTGTAGGTCTTCTTCTCCTTTGCGAGTTCAATGATTACATCATCGTAATTTCTATAGTTGCTACTTTGACATTTCCACATTATTCGTTGATGACTCCTACAATGCACACAACACAGAAATCAATTATCCAGTCGTAAACTAAGCACATTTGGTCCAGTAAAGTTCAACCATAAAATTGGAACACATCAACTATCCATTACATTACATGCAACCATTAAAGTGAACTATGCCCAAAAATAAAGGTTATAACATGATCCCATATTGCGCAAGACAAAAGTACGTACCGTTCACAAAAGTAAAGTAACAGTAACTACATCGCTATGCAACGATACCAAAAAACAAAACAACTTAAAAAAAAGACCCACAGAACTAGTCCACAAAAAACCATAGTACATCAAAACCAAAGACGTCCCATTTTTGCATGAAAGACCAAACCAAAGTACTCACAGGCCTTTTGAAACCTGCAATACCGCAAGCCAACCGACTACATTCTCATCACTTGGCATGCACATCAATATTTCCCGGTAATCCGTGTTCTCTAACGCAGTGCAGGCGAAATGGAACAGTGGGGTGCTGATGAAGTTCGGGATAGCCATAAGCCGTTGCATACATGGCTCAATGCCATACTTCTGCGATGCACCAGTTCCGTGCCTGACCGTTAGGCGCTTCTGTGCCTCAACCGCCTTAGACAGATGGTGAAAACTGTCCGCAAGAACCGATGCTCTAGTAGAGACCTTCTTCGACTTTCCACTAGTGCTACTTTCCTTCTTCCTCTTTGTCTCGGGGTCTGCTTTTTCAAGCTGGACGGTGGGGGAGTTTGGAGCTGAGTTAACGATCGGTCTGTATGGCTCGGTAAATGGTGCCAACCCAGGAGAGTCCACTGAGTCTGATTCACCTTCGCCAACATCCACAGCCTTCTCCCCCAGTGTCCAATGGTGTTTGCTAGTCGCCGTTGCACCGGTGAATACTTCACGCATCAAATCTTCATGGTCCAATGGTTTCGTCTTGAATTTGTAAGCGATCTTATTTGTCTGCAAATGAAAAATCAAAGTACACTTTAATTTTTTCGTCACAGTGACATGGGACATTCAACGAACAAATGACTTTCGCTTACATATGTGTACAAAATTAGTTATGAGAATGGGTTGACATAAGTTAAATGTAGTTTGTTTTTTTATGTTGTATAGTGTTCAAAATTGTAGTTATTTTGGATTGAAAGGGTTTGGAGTTAACGTAACGTACATATAGGAAAACTTTATGACAAGTAATGAATAATAACAGGTACAAGTTGCCATTAAACTTAGAGGACTTGTTACGTAAAATAAATATATGTCCGTGCATACCGATTTAAGATTCTCCCACCACTCTTCCAACGCTGTGAACAACCCGGTTTCCCTGTCAAACCCAATGCTAGTCACACCCTTACTGCTATCCATCAACTTGTTCCAAGTCTGCCATTCCTTTTTCAAACTACTATACTTGTTCTTAAGCTGTGTAATGTCATGACGTCTACCCGTGCACTTAGCAAATTTGAGTGCAATTTCATTGAACCCTGTTTTGGTTATGGTTGTACCTTCCCGACGGCCCGCTAATATTGCGTCCCTAATACACTGTAAAAAGATTTTTGTCGCTGCATTCTCCCAGTTCGCCTTATGTGCATGATCTAAGCCATCAACAATGCCTTCGGTACCTGATGAGCCAACCCCTTTATTCTTAGACAGGGTGCGAGGGGACGACCGTGTTGCAGCCATTACACTAATGTGACAGGACGTATTTATACATTAGAACGCAGTTGATGAATACATTTCAGACAATAAACTATGAACAATAATATGTAACAGACAACTTCCACATTTTCATAAAAAATAATACGATAATTACTAACACGATGTAGCGCTTACATACAAACGATGACAAAGCATTTACTCGTTCAAAATAGTACTTCTTCAAGACACTAACAAATGTACACATTAACGAAATGGTTTACGGGGTCCACATTCGCAATAATAAGATGATGACCATGATGCATAACACACAAACCACCGTTTTCATTACACGCAAAGTATTGAAATTGTTCACGACATCAACCCATAACTGGATGACATCGGTTGAACTAAAGTCATGGTCGGGGATCCGTGTCCCTGATTCTCACAACAACCAATCCAATTACCACATTGCTGATGAATAAGAAACGTAAAACATTTATTAGTTATAGGAATTAGAGTGTACATATAACTGGAGTGACAAATAATCGTTTGTTACAACTCACCACGGGCCGGGGGCAAACATAATATGTATGGCCAGGATTTTTGTGAGACCTGGACACCTTCACAAGACAATGGCCATAGCCACAAGCACACATGTGCTGTGGCCATGTCGACGTGGCAGTGGAAAAAGAGGAAGCCATATAACTACACACAGAGCAAGCACATGACTACAACAGCACCACAGATTGAGGTTATAATTGTAATACAAGTATGTTCGTTGAAATGTAACAGATAATTTATTACAGCATAACAGATGAAGGCATAGTCATCTATATTTATAACATCCCATTTTTGTTAATAGCATAACAAATTGAGTAAATTGTTAAGCTAACTCGAAAAGGTTTGGCCAATTCAAATGCAATGCACAGTTCACACTTGTAGGTACCCATTACTTTACACTTTTTTTTTTTTTTTTTGGATAAGTAAGCAAATATTATTAAGAAAGCATCAAGATGATGCAACCAATACAAGAAAACTAACCCAGAAAGGGGAACCAATAAAACAAGGGTTAACCAATCACCTCATCTAAAAAATCTAAAAACACAAATAAATTCGGATCTACCCTACCCTCCAACCAACTATACAAAACTAGAAAAAGACGACTTTGTAACCAAGAAACACTATGAGAAACCTCTAAGAAGGTACGTCTATTCCGCTCCAACCAAAGCAACCACATCAAACAGAACGGAGCCAATAACCAAGCTCGTCGCCACCGTCGGCCAAGACGAACGCCCCACCAAGCCCAAAGGAAATCCAACACCCCCTGCAGTTGAACCCAAGCAAGCCCAAAAAGTGAACAAACAAAGCCCCACAAACACGAAGCCACCGAGCAATGGAGAAACAAATGATTCACTGTCTCCGCATCCTCGCAACCCATATAACACCGATTCACTAGGATGTGCTCCCGCTACATCGAATTATCCAAAGTAAGATTCCGACCTAATGCTACCATCCACATGAAAAAGACAACCTTAGTCGGAACCCCTGGAACCCAAACACTTGTCCAAGGAAAGACCCGACCATCATCCCCTATCAACCCCCAATAAAATGATGCTACTGTGAACCGACCCTTTGCCTCCAGCCCAGTCAGCACCAAGACATCTGGGCCCACCCTGACCGTCCCCAAACCATATAAAAGCCCCACAACTCTACCAACTGAATGACTTCCCAATCATGAACCTCCCACCGTAATTGAATATCCCAAACCACCACACCCCCATATAAATCCAGAAACAATAGACAAAATGCTCCAATTCAATAATCTACAAAGATGGGCTACAAACAGCACTAAAAAAAAAAAAAACAAGTATTTGCTCAATGTTATGGACGATCAACGGAATATTATTTGCTCAATCTGCAATTCCAGAACAAAAATCCCAACTCTCTGAAGCATTTTGCTATTTATTCGATCAATTAGGCCGTAGAAAGAACAGGTTAAATGAAATTCGAAAAGATTTATTTTTTTCCAAAATAATAATTCATCAAATGTAAATTAGAAATTTTATTAAATTTTGATGAAAGCAAAATTTTATATATGGAATAATTTTGGAAAAGAAAAACAAAAAATTATTTTGAAAAATAATTTTGTCCATGTTTTTTACTTTACACAGAAAATAAAATTAGGGGAAAAAAAAATTTGGATGCAGACTGAGAGATGGTCTGTGCCAATTAATTTTTTTGGTTTTAGTTGTTATGTAGATGGCAGAAAGGGCAAAAAAAAATTTGGTGAAGAAAATCTCAAGAAAACCCAAAATGAAGGAAGACGAAAAAGAGAAAAACTAGTTTGCTGAGCAATGTATTTTCTGTTGCACACGACTAGGTGAAGATAAGTAGGAAGATCGGTGACTTTACGACCAACGAAGGAAAAAAAATTGCAGGGGAGAATTATTCTAAAGCATCGGTGCAGATTGGTGTTCGAAAATTTCAGAAAATGGTGTTTCGCAACTGTACCTTAGTATGTCCTCGACGATCGGCTACTTGGTCTTCCGTAACAGTGCCGCCAGAGTAAGCCGCCGGAGAGAGGTAGTTGACTCTATTAACGCGTCCAGGTAGGGCTTTGGTGAGAGATATGAGAGATGAATTTGATGTTGCTAATCAGGTAGAGGAACGGATGGTAAATACGTCATTTTACCCACAAAGTGCCATACAGCTGGACTGTGCTTCGGAACCGAGCTACAGTGCGAGTTGTTTGAAATTTTTTTCGTTGGTGAATAAAATGCGCACCAACCCACGTTCCCAAACACCAGCTAAATAACACCTTTCATGACAAACTCATCCCAAATAAGCTCAACCATTCCGAGATGACAGAATATGGTCGCCAAAAAATTAGAGCATCTTTAATAGTAAATCTTATAATAACATTGTCATTGTTAAATTATGACAATGAATAGTAGAAAATAGTAAAATTATAGTAATGGTTCTCCAATAGAGTGCTGTCATTTTTGCCATTTTGGTACAGAAACTGGTGTGTTCAGACAACCGGCCAGACCTCTGAACACACCAGTTTATAGCTTTGATTTTGCAAAAATGACGGGCAGGAAGGAGGGATGTTTTGCTAAGAGGAAGGGAGAGAGGTCCAAGCTTGATGAGTTGACAGTTATGACAGCTATCAAAGCTTGTGTCAAATTTGACACAAGGTTTGGCATTTGCCAATTTTGATAGCTGTCATAACCAACCATTGAAGATGATTTTTTGTGAACAACTACCAAATTATGGTAATAGCAACTCCAATAACTTACCATTGGAGATGCTTTTATATTAACCAACGCTATAATTCATTGCTAAAAAGTTCCCTAAAAAGGTACAAAATTGAAATCTTGGCATCAAATCAAAGGAACAATTTTAGTGACAAAATTTTTACTTCATCACCAACTGTAATATGCTTGTTATGTTTTAGTGATGATTTGGTTATCGTCTCATTGGAACTTAGGTATATTTTGAAAAGTAGGTTAAAAGTTATTTTTTTTAGTTTGTTTTTGAACTCTTTTTGAAGAAACATACAAAAAAGTAGAGAGAAAATGTGACTCAAAAAAGACAAAAAACTAAAAAACTAAAAAACTGCTTTTAATCATGTTCTCTAAACAAGCCTTATGGTTTATGCCACAAATTGTGTGTCTTATCTTTAAAAGCAATGAGAAGGGGTTGGGGAAATCTTGAATCTAATTTCTACAATAATGGTTGTGGGGACATATTTTTTGGTTGTCCATGTGGTTAAGGTGGTTAGCCAAGGTGCCAAGTGGGCAGTCTTGGATTGTCGAGGTGTGATTCAACCATACCAGAATCTGAGATATTCGAATGAGAACTGTGAGTCCTAGATGATATCAGGCTACCTGTTTTGGGTAAGGATTATTGAAAAAAATAGTTTTATGGTAATTTTAATATAAAATTAAAATGGGTCCCAACCACCTGTTGAGGAAGGATCAAGTGGGTCTAGATTCTTTGTAATAAAATCTTTACACAAGAAAAAGAATGACCAAAAATCATTGAGAATTGAATGAGAAATTATCTCATAAAATTGGTTTTATGAATGGGGTGTTGGGAATGGTGTATAGCCACCTATCCCACATTGATTGTAGAAGAAAGTATTGATGGGTATTTAAATCCCAAGTTTTTGATAAGGCCATATGCATTTTGAGACATTCAAATTTTCCGAAGCAAGGAAGCTATGAATGCTTCAAGAATGGATTTGGGCCAAAACTATGGTCCAAATTGGTTATGCAATAAATGCCACATGCATGCACGCATCGCCGCCCACCCGAACCGGGTCCAGGTTCGTGGTCCGTGCACTGCTGGAAAATCGACTTTTAGCGGCATTTTAAAAACGCCGCTATAAGTACTAAAAACGTCGCTAATTCTTTTTGTGACGTTTAGTACCAAACGCCGACGACGCGGCCGTCGCTATAGCTTTATGGCGTTTGAAAAACGTCGTTATATTATTATAGGCGGCGTTTTTAAAAACGCCGCCAAAAGTCCTGCCTAATTGTACTGTGACGTCACTATGACATTTAGCGACGTTTTGAAAACGCTGTTAAAGACATTTATACATTTTAAAAATCTAACCGTTGGGGTGGGGATATAGTGACGTTCAAAAAACGCCGCCATAGCCTTTATTTTTATTTTTTTTATTTTTAACGTTGTGCTAATTTTATATGGTTGAAAAAAAACCTGTCATAAACAATTATTAAGAACTAATAATTGATGTTTATTAAAATAATAAATAAACTAAGTTTGAAAACAAAATTAAAAATAAAATAATGCGGCTCTTGACATGTTATTATACCGATTAGTAACATAATTACACTCTTATCTATCCATCACATAACACATTTGGTATAAAGTTCAAAAAAAAAATTATAAATAAATAATAATAGGAGAAGAAGAAAAAGAAGAAATCTGATGCACCAACATTGTATTCAAGCAATCAATATTTTCTTTTTCCTTTTTGAAGACCCATCAAGTAGAGTAGAAAACTATGAAGAATCAATCAACATGCAAGAACCGTCCTTTCGGTTACCTTACAAACCTTAGCTTGTTAGAACATTAACTACATCTACAAAATATGATAGCAACTATTCAATACAAAAGTTTCTAAAGCCATATTTTAGATAAGTAAAGAGTTTATAGCACCTGAAGCAAGAGCAGTCACTTTCCCTCGGGCCACAAGTAGCATATCAAGAACCACATCCCACATAGTCATCTCTTTCTCTTCTCCAACAAACTGATTCCATCCCATGTCCCCATCAGCGAAGTAGCCCCCACCGAAGGAAAAACCCCTATTCCATTCTTCATGTTCGCTCCCTGACATCGGTGGAACAGAGACAGGTATCCAAACCCCAATTTCTTCAGAAACTGGCAAGTCGTAACAAAAATATTTGCCAACTGTATCATTGCCAGCATTTGAAACATTATGATTCTGCAGATCATCACCCACCATAGTGCCATCAGGTGCCTCGGTTTCATCATCTTTCAGCTGTGCATTTTCTTCATTTACCAAATTATCAGTGGCCGACAAACTACTTTCTTTCCTTTGTTCCTCAACATCTTCAGAAACCTGAACACCAGCACCCAGCAATGCAAATAAACAAGCAGCATTTTAAAAACTGATTTAGAAACAGATGACAGAAAAATGATACCCCTTTTGTCCCAAGTCCTTTTTGTCCATTTTCTTATATTGGAATGTCACACGATAGTTCTTCACTTTAAAAGTGAAGTGTACAAAATTTTGTTACTTTTCTAAACTATCATTTTGAAAGAGTAGCTCTGAAATCCACCACAGAAAATTTTCCCAAGTTTTGGATGCTCATGCTTCCCACTTGAGCATGAACGCGTTAAATGCCTGCCTCTCTAAACAGTTGGAATCCTAAAGGGACTGTGAACAGGGAATGGAGGGAACAACATCTATTGCACCATAAATTTGATCTTTGCACAAGTGAATATATATTGATAAAGCCACATCACATATAAGTTAACCCAAAAGATCATTGACAAACAAGGCCACCAAGTTGGATAAATAAACATGAAGTTGATAACGATGCAATCAACATAAATAGGGAAATATAACTAATGCATGACACGTTAGATGCCCAATGATAACAAGTAATCACCATGAAAGTCCCTAAGAAGATGGGAAAACAAAAAACAGAAGGAAAAAAAAAAAAAAAAAAAAAAAAAAACAGAAAAAAGAAAAAGGATAAGAATAATCATAGAGGAAGAAATAGGGGAGATCAATGCAGCTGCAAAATAGCCAAAATTACATACCAAACTTTATCCTTGTGTTGCAAAGAACATCTGGGTTAGGAGTACGGCCGCATCGGTACTCCTCAATAATGTAGGAAACCTGAAATATGGACCTATAAGTTTCACAACTTCATCCAAGTATTATCTTTTCCCAGTTACAAAGCTCCCCATAAGTTTCAAAAAAAGAAAAAAGAAAAAAAAGAAAGGAAAAAGGACAAATGTACAAACTAGCAAGGGAATAGATAAGGACAACATAACATAAGTAGTCAATGCTCTTCAGTTTGTCCCCCCATATTCACTTGATCCTTCGTATATTCATGCCTCTTATAATCAGGAAAAAGAAGAATCATGCTTATTATTAGGGAATGAACAATTTAGTTGAGAATCACACTTATGCTGCAAATAACACACACTTGCAATCCTAATAATAGGGTCATTTTGTGAATTGGCATTAAAATCCCTAAAAAATAAGCCGGAACAAAACATAATAGATGAATCATCTTTGGTTTGGTGAAAATCTTCACTGTACATGAAATACCAATCCTAATTTTTGATAGAATGCAGAATTTCATTCTTTTACTTTATTCTTTAATACTACATACTTATGCGTGGTAATGCTATATGTTAGAAGTACCTGAAATGTACAGATCCATTTGGGCCACCAGATTTTGTGGCCTGCAAAACTCAATTAGAATCATATGAGCTTTCTTGATATGTAATGTTTAGGAATAATATAAATTTCTACTTTCATCTCAAACTGTCAACAAGTAAAACTCTTTCTGACCTTATCATAAGTCATAGCATCATTCATCGCCAAAGTCAATAAGGATGGAACAAGATCTGGGTTTGCCTGAAATCGGCACATCAAGAATCAATGAAGCATTATAGGTTTTAAATCTGCAAAATCAGGTCTAAATATGCATTACATTAAGATCAATTTCATTAAGCATGATGGCGGGATTTACCTTTATAGCTGTAAAAAGGGTCCCCTTCACACTTGCTGTCAAAGAAAATATGTTAATTCAATAGACACCGTCAATGTTAAATGTACATAACTATTTGGCATCATTTTCATTTTTCATGTTTTCAGAAACAAAAGCAATGAAAAGTTCAAAGTCATCCATCACTTCCAAAATTTTTCTAAAATTTGAAAACAACTATTTGGTGTTTTCCTAAAACTAGGTTGCTTTCAGAACTTTTTTTCTGGAAACACTTTACCTAACAAGTTTTCTGTGTTTTTTGAAAAATGAAAACAAAGAATAGAAAACAAAAATGACACCAACAGTTTGGAGTACTTACACTGAAACTCAGAACGCTGTCTGCGCTGTATTAGATCAGCAGCATTAGCCTCTTCAACAAATGAGCCTAAGCTTGCTATTATTTCCTAGGGAGAGACAACAACTGGCAGAAACTTATCATCACAAATAGCAATCGAAGACAGAAGTCAGCTTAATTGGCAGAAACTTTTTTTTTTTTGAAATTGTGCTAATTTTATTTCTTTGGAGTCAGCTTATTCAGTATCCTAAATAGCAATCGAAGACAGAAGTCATGCATAATTGATATGAAATGACATTCAACATATATGCTAACTTTAAAAACAAGAAAAAAAATTCTTCAGCTGCAAACGCCTGTCAACTGACATTCATGAGATTATTAGTTACTAGAGCCAGCAATTTGTTCTTGCAATCAGAAACAATATTAACTAAATTAAATCAGAGACAGAATTAAATTATAATATCAAATACAGAGAGTAGAGATAAACTATTTCAAAACCTTAATAATTGATATAAAAAAAAATGGTTTCTTGATAATCTATTTCAAAACCTTAATAATTGATATAAAAAAAAAATGGTTTCTTGGTCATTTAAACTTCACTAATCAAATTTCATTTGATAGAGAACATGAGAAAGAAAAAAAATAAGTTTGCCCTTACCAGCACCCCACCCAGTCTTGATGCCAATGGTTTCTTGATAATTCCCAATGAACTGCAAGAAATGCACTTAAGTGAGCAAAATACCATATACAGCTCAATATAATTACAGCTATGTAACAAGCCCGCGGAGGGGCCTCGCTACAGCTCGGACTCGACTTTTCGTAGTCACGGTTCTTCTAGTCTGAACCAAAGAGTCCAAATCCGGTTTAACAATCGTTTTGATGAAAACAGATTTTTGAAGAAGTGCCAAACATGGACTTGCTTTGCCAGATTACACGAGTCGCCACCTAAATATTTTATTTTGGGAAATTTAGGAAACGCCCTGACCGGTGCAAAAAGGCCACGTTTCCGTCATACCGGAAGTTGCCTCAGCTCGGGAACTTGGGTGATTTGGGGAAGGTCACTTGGAGGCACGCCCCGCTCACGCCATCATAGACCACCTCTACTAACCATGATATCAATTTTTGAAAACTTTGTATGTTCTTAATTCAGTTATTAGCAATAGTTACTATGTGATGCGGCGCGCATACAAGTATAGACTGGTGCCTGAATTGGGAACAAAACATTCATGTTCGCTTTTTTTTAAACAATGGTTTGCTACCGCAGGTAGGCCTTAAAATTGCGATTTTGCCACCTCGCGGTGGGCTTTAGAAAAGATGTTTGCCACTATCTAGTGGGCTTAAAACAACAGTTATGATTTATTCCATCCAAGTAACAACCTTCACACCACAGATTCAGGCAGTATATCACATAAGGCTATAGCCTCAATGGTAGCAATGCTATTCAATGGCAGCTCACTCACGCATGCAAGGATGCTAAAGCATAAAACTTTCACCGAGTAACTCCAAGGCGCAAAACAGAAGCTATTAGAATCCATGGCATGATCCTAATTATACAGAATGCTAATGCAAACACATGCAAAGAAACTATAGCAGGCTCGGCTATTCTAACATGGCATATGAAGATGCCAAAAGCTAACAAGTATTCAACTTGAAAATTGAAATACAATGCAGTTAGTAATGATGCGCCGAGCCGTGCGTGAAACAGATGGAATGATGCAAAATGCTGTCATTTTGGTATGCTAATTGAAAGTAGCCCTATCTAACACATCAAAGCGGATAAATAAAAGGAGAAAGACGTGGGGTTGGAAGACATAATCACACTCACGCACACTTATTACAGTTGTGCCTCGGCAGAGGGTCCCGTAATAATAATTAAATCCAAATATTACAGTCCCGAAATAAAAGAATATAACAGTCCAAAATATTACAAACATCCTAATTATTTAATATATTAACTAAGAAACATAATAAAACTGGCATGCAGCCAGGGACTGCCTTGCTTTTACTGATAGATTGATGCATGTCCGGTTGTTTCTTGCGCGGAAAAACTCACCGGGACCCCAATCAGCCTTTGTTTTAGCGGTTATTTCTTGATGCGTGCGCAAGTCCCCGAAAAGTTACTGATTCTTTCATTTTGTGGCAACAGCAGAGCAGGAAGGGGCATATGCCAATGTATTTGCACAGATAATGCTGTTCTCGATCCTACGTCGCCACCGAATCAACTGCATACCGAGGATGATTGCCGAGGAGTGCGAAATGACAATTCATATAGAATGAATGCGACATGAATACAGCTAAAACCTAACTCCATCATGGATAATCGGAGTGTCGGTGACTGGGGAATTGAGATACATTCGGTCATTCGGAGTACGAAATGTACCTCGTTTCCCGTGCCGGGGTAATCTATTCGAAACAGCATACAGATCAATAGGAGGTGCATATGCATGACATGCGTGAAATGCGGCTGAAGATACAACTAGTATGGCACAATGTTCATGAAAACGATATGCCTCGAATGCGTGCACCAGGCAAGCAACCGAGAAAATGACATATGCGACTAAGACGGCAAAAAATGGATATAATCAAAATGGACTTATACTACAGAGAGAGCTCAGCCACCACTCAATAGGATGCCGATGGATAAAAAGAAGTCTTCGAAATGCGTGGCACACGGGCACCAGCAACGGGCAATGGCAGATATGGCGATGGGAATGACATGGCAATCGAATATGGGCTTATACACATGAGAGAGCCTCAGCACACTCACATAGGGATGCCGAAGGTTGAAAATGAAGTGCTCGAAATCGTGCACACGGCACGCGACCGAGGCAATGGCATACGCAATGCAGAATGACATGGAAACATGATATGGGTTAAACCAACAGAAGTTGAGCCTCAGCCTAACTCACATAGATGCCGATGGATAAAATAGAGTGCCTCGAATGCGTGCACACGGCCGGCAAACAAGGCGATGACATACGCAACTGCAAATGACATGGAAAATGATATGGGCTTATACCAACATGAGTTGAGCTCAGCACACTAACATAGGATGTCGATGGTGAAAAATGAAGTGCCTCGAAATGCGTGCACGTGGGCACGCAGAGGCAGACGGCGATGACATAAGCAATGCAAATTGACATGAAAACATGATATGGCTTATACCAACATGATGAGCCTCAGCCACACTCACATGAGGATGCCGATGGTTGAAAATGAAGTGCCCCTCGAAATTGTCGGGCACACGGGCACGTAAACCGAGGGCGATGACATACACATTGCAAATGACATGGAACATAGATATTGGGCTTATACCACATGAAGTGAGCCTACAGCCAACTCACATAGGATGGCCACGACGGTTGAATGAAGTGCTTTCGAATGCGTGCACACGGCACGCAAATACCGAGGCGATGACAGATATACGAATGCAATGACATGGAAACCATGATATGGGCTATACCAAATAGTGAGTCTCAGCCCACTCACATAGGCAATGCCGATGGAATAAAATGAAGTGCTCGAAATGGGTGACACGCACGGCAGCAACCGAGGCGATGACATACGCAATGCAATGACATGGAACATGATATGGGCCTTAACCAACATGAGTGAGCCTCAGCCACACTCACATAGGATGCGATGGTTGAAATGAAGTGCATCGAAAATGGCGTGCAACAGGCACGCATACCGAGCGATGACATACGCAATGCAAATGAATGGAAACTGATATGGGCTTATACCAACATAGTGGAGCCTCTCAGCCAGACTCACATAGGATGCGATGGTTGAAAATGAAGTGCCCTCAATGACGTGACACGGGCACGAAAACCGGGGCATGACAGATGAGATGCAAATATATGAAATGGAAAGTAATTATTCTAATATGGAATTTCAGACCAAAATATGGGGAAAACAGTCCGAATGAGGCGAAATGACACACACAATGCATGAAAAGTCCGAAATGCGATTTAGGCTACGCGATATGGCTATAGCTATGGCAAACATGCCACAATATGGACAACTGCCAATGCAAAGACAGAAGCTAGACAGTCCAGAAAAGGCATTTTCACAGTTAAACATGGCCAACGCAGCATAGGGTATGGCAAAAATGGCATGCAAGAATAGGGGCCAAGAGAGGGGTAATGAACGCAAGTGATATAAGTAAATCAAACGAAAATCTTTCCTTCTACAACATTGAAGAGGGACCAACAATATGAATGTTTCCAGTATGGAAAACTCAAAAATCAATTACAACATGCTAAAAAAAAGGCACAAGAATTGAGGCTCAAAAGGTGCTATAAACTAAGTATAAAAAATAATCACCAAGCAGAAAAAAAGTGTTAATCGACAGTGAATACTGACCAAAATAAGGCCACTTTCATCGGTACAAAGGTCCAAACGAAGCAAAGGGGGCTGCCAATTTAATGCAAAAATGGGCGACCAAATAATGGATTAACTCACAATGAACATGGAGGCACCAATGGTGAGGGCGCCCTTCACAATGTTGAATAAGGGCCAAAATAAGCACATTCAGCAGATTAGATCATGCTCAAAAACAGATGGTCCATGGGCCAAAAGTAGCATGGCGATTAATGACATATAAGAGGATCAATGAAGCAGTGCATCATGGAGGGCTCAAACAGGTTGAGCCCTCAATGAAAAGTGAATAAGAGCTCAAAAGAGGGGCCCATTTCAGTTTTAGAAAATCAGATTTTATCATTATCGATAGAGTGTCTAATCTATATTTTCTGCTTAGAAGATATATTTATGTTTATGTTTTTGTTATCTGTTTCACATAGGATCCGTCGCCAATCTTTTGCACCTAAATACTTTTAATAATCTCGTATTAATAATGATTATCTAATAGATTATTTTTTGAATAATTTTGTTGTATTTTTATTTTCTATCTAAATTTGTGCAAATAATCATTTTTATTTTGGGCTAAAGTTTATATTGTAAGGTTTTTTGGTTTTCATCTTGTTCATTTATGTTGGCTATTATTTCAGAATTTTATCATTACTTATCCCTGTCAATAATTGCTCAGTAGTGCAAAATGTATACTTTTCTGGTTACGATATTTTGGTTATATAAGTGATCTTTTCGTTTAGATTTAATTTTTGCATTTTCTTCTTTATCTTACTCCACCCCTAGTCTGTTATATGCTATTAATTTTTTATTGCTTCTGGTGGTTGTACTGATGTATTTTTATTATTTTCAGAGTTATTGTTTTGTGAATTTATCACAGTTAGTACTTTTGTATCTTAGTTTGATGGAATAATTTGAAGCTTAGAGATGATTTGTTATTTTACGGTTTAAAGTATGTTTAAATTCGGTATATCTTTGATTGTTATGGTTATTTTGCACATTAACCTTTTTTGATAATAATTATTAACTAAATTGAATTGCTTTCGGGATTGAATATATGTCTACT